AATGGCAGCAGTGACTGTCGAAATATTGTGAAAATAAATCTGTGATTTGAATGAATCATGATCTTCTCAGCAGTTCTCTACTTCATTTCACTATTTAATCTTACTGCTCCTCGCTCTTCATTTTTAAAAGAAATACTATTTTTTCTTCTAACTGTTACACATTTTTTGTTGTAAAAATATAGATATCATTTTGAGTGACTTTAAATAGAAAAATACTATTTTCGACTATCTAAAAGTTCTTTATAGTATAAAAACTAATATCATATTCATCACTAGGAGACAAAATCTGATTAGATGATGCCTTTTTGAACATTCTTTGTGTAAAATTGTTTTGAAGGAAGTCAGTTTATTTTAATTAGCTTTCAATGAAATACGTTAATTTTTAAGAATAGAAATAATTTTGATATTTTAAATTCGACTTATTTGGAATAAATAAATTTTTGTTTTACAACTGCTTTTTCGTTATAGAAAAGCTCAAGCCTCGAAAACTTGAACTGGCCCTTACTAGTAAAGGCTTTTAATTTAGCAAATAACAGAGTTTCATAACCTGAACAATGCATTGTGAAATAGATTATTTTTGGTTGCTGAAGATTGTCAACTTGTTGTTGTTATGGTTGTTCATTTATTCGTCTGCCTATCACTTTACCCTCACATATTCCAGGCTAACCATTCAGTTTTAATACTTATTTCAATCAATCAAGTTCAACTTTTCAATAGACAACCGTCGAGCAAATTCTCTCAAGTCAAACTACGACTGCTTTTATCAGTCCTAGTTTGCAGCGCCTCGATTGATTACTTTTCCACAGTACAACATGTAGAAATCAGTGTTAGTGGATTTCCGATACAGTGTCGTCTCGTATACTGTAGCTGATCGAATAACAAGAACATCAAGAAAGGACAGTTTTTCGTGTTTTTCTATTTCTAATGTGAAGGGCAGATTTGGATGCCATTTATTAATTCGACCTTGAAATTCCACAATTTTTGTTATGTTAGGTCCATCGTGAAGTTACAGAAAATGTCATCTACATAACGAAGCCATAGTAATGGCTTGTTTGTTGAGAATCGATTTAATTTTGTTTCCATTTCTGACATGAAAATGGCCGCAATAATTGGACCAAGTGAGCGGGGGCGGGGATTAATTTTTCACACAGAGCTAGTATGAAATTTTTTATGTATATTATGTTCCATATGAATAAGCATTTGGCATGATGACGAATTTTTCACTTATTGGGGGTGAGATTACCCACCGGACCTTCCTCTGCTCGGACCACACCTAAATGAAACGTCAGTACACCAGTATTTTATATCCACAGACCTATTGGCTCAAGAATCTGACCAATCAAATGCAATTATTTGTCTTGTTCAGCTATCTTATACATATGTCCCGAAACAAAATGTTATGACAAATATGTAACAATGTAATACTAGAAGCGTCACAATGTTACGTTTTGGCGTAGCATTATCGCACTTTTAGTATGACATTTCGGGAGAGTGTAGTATCTTTCAATCAGAATATTATTTGTGTTACTACAGCAAATAGCTCAGAACTGTACATCTGTATACAGAAGGGTTACATTTCAACAAGATTTCTATACATCTGCTACAAATCATCAATGTTTTCTATCTAATTTCATAGAGGAAGGGAACTTTTTTAGACAGCGACCTCACCGATTATGCTGGGTAAAAAGTTTTGGGTGGTTCACTGTTAAAAAACTACTACTAATTTTTTTTCAAGTGTTCAGGGAAAAAATTTCTCCTGTCTAATCGAAATCGCCGTAATATAAATTTCTATGACATAATAACTAGATCCTCTCGAAACCATACCATTTACTACCAAAAAGACACACAGAGCGATATAGAACAGATTCTATACATTTTTTTAAACTGCTTTTATTCACTTTTTGAGTTTAAACGTTTTTCAGTTTATTTATTTATAAGGAAAAGATGACTGATATTGAAACTCCACCAACATCAGCTGATATACAAACATCAGCTGTTGAAAACGAACAAGTACAACCACAATCTCCAGAGACTGATAGTTTATTGTCTCCTCAATCATCTGTTGTCTCATTGTCATCGTCAACAGCAAACACAACGAATTCCCATTCATTAGAATGTCGCTATACATTTTGGTTCACACATCGTCCAACAACGTTTAGAAATAGTGCATTAAATTACGATTCATGTTTAAAAAAATTAGGTAAAAGATTTGCCAACAAGAAGATTTACTAAGGGACATAATGTTTTTTTCTCTTTATAGGCACATTCGGCACAATTGAAGAATTTTGGACGTATTATGATCACATGAAAGTACCAGGTGATTTACCATTATATAGGTATGCCAAAATGAATCTTAATTTTTTCTTGGTGCTGGTACAAAGATTCTTGAAGTTATTTTTAATCGTACGTCTTTCATGATAAACTAAATAAAAATAAAACAAGTTTTTAGTTTTATAACTGATACGCTAAATAAAACCTATTCTTCATTATATATTTTTTATATCCTATGATTATGGTTTTTCTTCTAGTGATATTCATCTATTCAAAGAAAATTTAAAACCAATGTGGGAAGAAGAAGGTAACCGAAATGGTGGAAAGTGGATATTACGTTTAAAAAAAGGTTTATCGAGTCGTCTATGGGAACTGTTGATATTAGCCGTTATTGGTGAACAATTTCAAGTTGGAAAAGAAATATGTGGAATTGTATGTTCAATTCGTCCACAAGAAGATCTCATTAGTGTATGGACAAAAACAGCCAATAATCAAAATGTCACACATCGTATAAGAGAAACAATGAAAAAAGTATTAAATTTGCCTGTTGATTGTAAGTATCTGTTACTCATTTTTATAAATATTCTACGGAAAAAAGAAAAACATAGTTGCTATTTTTGTAGCTGATTTCTGTGTAAAAGATAATGCAAAGCCATTCAATTTGTTATAGCGCTACAGACGTTTTAATCGATTCATCAGATAGTGATTAATGAAAATAATGAGTAAAATTATCTTTTCTTTTTTAAGGTCCACTCGAATATAAAACACACAATGATTCATTACGCGATAATTTTAGTTATAGAAATACGGACCGAGTGCGTTAAAAACTGGAGATTGACACTCTACCTCGAAGCAATTTCGTTTTTCAATTTATCAAGCGATATTGGTTTTGTTTCTTGTCTGATAATGGTTTTTCTTATGTAAATATGAAGGAAAAGTCCTAAGTTTATAAGATTTATTTAAACGGTTGTTTATTTCAGATATTGTCTTTTATTCAGGTGATGATTTTGTTTTATTTTTTTCTTGTTATTGTTATGCATCACTTGATGTAAAAAAACTAGTCTGTTCTTTTGTTTTAGTAGATGTTCAAACCCTAACAGACATTGTTTCTTTTCTCGTTTTAAAGCATTATTTTGTTTTTTTTGATAAGATATTACTTTAAAAAAGCTTGTGTGTGTGTGTGTGGATTTTTTCGTCTTTTTTGTGCTGCTGCTGTCATGCTAATCATTCGTTTGTATGTTTGCGTATTTTATTTGCTAGTTTTGATGGAAAGATATAAAAATATCTTTCTCATTGTATGCTTTTTTTCTTTCAAAACAAATTTTTTGACTTTTTCATTATCTTTTTGTAACGATTGTGGAAAAAGAATTAGTTGATTTCAACGAAATCTTCCGTGTTGGTGATAAACAAAACTGTTGTTTTAAGTTGAAGTCAGTACACTTTAGAAATGTAAGATTATTTGATTAAATATAGCAAAAGAGAACGTTTTCTTTCGAACGATTAGGCTATCCTTGCCTCTACTCTTCTAGAGTACTATAGAAACAGATTTTTAAATCAGTGCAATTGCAAAATAAGACTACTGTTATCTACTTTGTTGGTCTATTGACTTGTTAAATTAACAACTCTGCTCTTTCTGTTTGTATTTTAGATATGCCTAACGAGATAACTAAATCATTTTATTTTCGTTCGCCTAGTCCATTTTGGTGCTTTATTATTCCTGTATCGCTCGTTTACTTGACATTATGTGCATATTGGCCTGATATCATACCATTTCATAAACTTGGCTATTTAGGAACATTTTCCGCCTATTTAGTTCAAAATCATCGTTTATTAGTTGTTCTCATATTTTGGGCAGCATTAGCAATTCATGTCTATGAAAGTGTTTTAGCTGCCAACTATTCATCAAAAGCAAATTTAGATAAGAAATCTATTAATCTATGGTCATTTCAAACATTTCTATTAGGTAACAAATCACTGTCAGTCTTCTGTTATCTATCGAAACTAATGTTTTTATGTTTTTCTAAAAAAATTGCTGGACATAATTTATGTATCGAAGGTTCTAACACAACATGACCTTCAAAGATATATAGTGTTAACTAAACTTATAAACTTATGTGCTTCATTCAGAAAATCTATCTATACCTTAAAGTTATAGTTTTGTTTAAATTTTTTGAAGCAAAATTTATGAAACTTTATTTTTTCCAAACCTGATAGTTTCTGGCTGAACTGATGAATCGCACATTTCGGCAAAATATTCTTGGTAAAAAGCAGATAAAACAGCTCAGCCTAGAGCAGAAAAAATCTGATGTAAACTTCGTTTTCGTCCAGTAGAAGAGCTAACTCGAAACCGCGTTTCTTTGGAGATATTTAGCATAGAAGAGAAACTTCAACCGCATTATTTTTTAGGTTATCCATCATTACGATTAGTCAAAGGTTATTTGCGTGCCCATACAAATAAAAAACAATAAACAATTTTATGGTGTTCATGCTGCTATTCTGTTCGTGATTTCGTTTTTGTTATTAATAGAAAATACTATTTGTTTAGCGTTCAGTGATTGCTTTGTTTCTGTATATATAATTTGTTGATGCTTTTTTTTGTACACATAACTGTTAAATACAGAAATGAAAAATCTATTTTTTTGTTCAATCACATACTTCTGTTAATTATTTTTATCTTGGTTAAAGCTTTAATCTTGAGCCGGAACGAAATCGAGAATATAAATTCCCATTATATCGTTCTGAAACTTAAACTATCAAAACACAATCAATTATTTTTATCTTTATGAAACTTCATTTTTGATGAAACACATAAAATACAAATAAATGCCAAGCATGGCATCTATATCAAATACGATATCTATAACGTTTCATTTTAACACCGATACGATACTTTTTTTAGATGAGAGTTATATAGTCTATGCGAGAAACAATAAACTTGATGTTATTATTGTTTTTGTGAGTAAATTATTATCTAAGACAATATTGTATAGTATTTATTATTTTATTTTAGATTATTAGTTTTTATAAAAATGTCTGAGCCGAAAATAAATTTAAGTGAAGAAGAATGGCGAGTTAAATTATCGCCTGAACAATTTCGGGTATTGCGTCAAAAAGGAACGGAATCACCTGGTACAGGTGAATACGAAAATACTGAAAAAGATGGAATATATAAATGTGCTGCATGTGATGCTCCATTATACAGGTAAAATAGTTTTTTTTGCAGGCACGTACATAAGAATGCATCAGCTACGGTTAACCGAAGCCGGTCATAAACAAAACTGATCAAGATCGGCTTTAATCCTTTGCGTAAAAGATTAAAGCACTAGACCTTTGCTGATGGTCAGATGTGAATGAATCAGGCGAGTTAGTTAGTGTCTGAATCTGCATTCAGCGTTTCAGCTTATGTTGGACGCAAAGAATGAACAAGAATGAATACGACAAATTTAGCTTATTTAGTCCTTTTGAAAGATAAAATAGGATGAAAACAATTATGAACATTGAAGTGATATGAACGATAACACTAATATTTGACTTCTTTTTTCAATTTTCATATGTTCTGCACATTTTTGCCTTTCTTGTGTTCACTAATCAGCAATAGCGAATTGTTGATGATTTCTTAATATTGTAGAGAGCGAAACGTAATGTTAGTTGTTGAATTGTTAATGACATGAATGGTGAAAACGTTATTGTGTTAGAATCAACCTGAGTTATATGCACTCTTCCAAAGCCAACAGTGAGACTGTGTTACTTCTACCGTTTCTATTCATCTGACCGTTTATGCAGTATGACCAGTTTCGGTTATGACCGATTTCGGTTACAGCGTTTATAATCGTAATCGGTGCATGTCTGCACGTACATGATATTTATCAAAACTTTTCTTATTCATTCTAGTTCATCATCAAAATTTCATTCCGGTTGTGGTTGGCCAGCATTTTTCGAGGGCATTCCCGGTGCTATTACTCGAAAAACCGATGCTGATGGAGATCGTACTGAAATTTTATGTTCAAATTGTGGTGGTCATTTGGGACATGTTTTCAAAAATGAAGGTTTCAAAAAAGGAACACAAATAATGAACGAAAGACATTGTGTCAATAGTATAAGTCTTAAATTTAACGATGAAAAACAAAAATAAGGAACATTTTTTGTATTGTTTCACCATGGCTCTTTCATAACTTTAATTTATTCTAGATGGGTGGTCTTTTTTTAACAAATAAATAGAAATTAAAACAATTTTTTATTAGAAAATAAACTATTTAACATTTTAGTTCTTAATATTTGATTAACTGTATTTATAGAGCAGAACTGTACAGGCATAATCTGTTCAACATTCAATGAGCATTAAAGAAGAAGAATCATCAACTTGAAAACTATGAAAAAAGTGATTGCTTTTATATTCTTTCCTTTAGAGAGATAATGACAGATAATGGTTTTCTCCATTAAAAACATGGACACAACTATACTACCGAAAGAAGGACTGATATTTCATTAACCACCTACACTATTGATCGTACGTGATAAGCAAAACTAAAATTAGAATATGTTTATGATCCCATTATGCTGATAAGACATCAGTTGAATGAATAATGGGATTCACTGGAGTTCTATAGACATTAATCTCATATGCAATCTACGGTATGACATAGTAGACCTTCTGTCTCTCTCTCTCTCTCTACTTATTGAATATAATTTTTGTGTTTAGATAAGGGAAGTAAAGCGTATCCAAAAAACCAAACAGTGATTGTGCGCCTATTCTTAGGATAGTCATGGATTATTGAGACGGTTAACAACATTAATTATTAAGAATATTCAATTGAACAAGTTGTTACCGGTACCCGATTATCCCAAAGGTTTGAATCTCATTGTTTATGTTTAACCTATAATTGTTTATTAATAAAAATATTGTCTATCCTATCTAAAATAAATAGTTCGTAGTGTTTGAAGAGAATTTCACAAAACATCAACATCCGTGTCTCGTACCCAAGATACACATTATGTTCTCCATGATTGATTTGGATTGGACAATCGTTTATTCTATGAGAAAACCATCGGTGAGGATCTATGTGCATTGTACGTTCAAAAACAAGACTTGAAAAAATTAGTTAAACAAATCTTAGAACAGTTTAAAGCAAAACGAAATATTACCAATTCAAAAAATAAAAATGTGCTATTGTTCAATAAAACAGCGTATCAAAACAAATCATTGATAAATGTCAATAAATTTGTATACAATTTTATTTATTCTTTTCATCAATTTAAATGTTGTTTGTTTGGATTATTGTATAATATTAAAAAAAGAAAAGAACAAAAATTGAATTTTTTTTGTTAAAGCAAATGGAAACATTCTTAAATAATTATTTATATTATATGTTTAAGAATACACTGTTCGTCATGATTGTTTACAAATTATTTTTAGATTATTAATAAAAATGACAAAATTAAAAGATCAGCAACAGTCAGTCTATTCAAATCCAATGGAACAATTATCAAAAATTGTTAAAAAAACGAATAAGAAAAACTTTTTAAAAAATAAAAAATTGAAAAAGAGTTTACCAAAAAATGTATTTGAAATTGTTAAAGAAGATGGAAAAATTGAACGAATCGATCCAAATGAAAAACAGAAAACAAATGACGAACAAGAGATAACAAACGATTCAAGTACCATAATTCTTTCAAAAAAGAAAAAAAAGAAACAATTAGTAGAAGAAATTGATCCAATAACAAATGAAAAAACAAAAAAAAAGCGAGTAAGTCGTCGGTATTGTTTACAAGATTCTTTACTATAGTTTATTTTTGTTTTCTTTTAGAAACGAAATTGGGATAAGTTAAATTATGAAAAATTTTCAATTACAACAAATCGTGAATATGAAAAAGGCTTACAACGTATAGCTACCCGAGGTATTGTTCAATTATTTAATACCGTAAGAAAACAACAAAAAGATTTGTCAGATAAATTGAATTCAGCTGGAAAATCAGAGCGAAAACGAGATAAAATATTATCGACAACAATAAATAAGGGAGAATTTATTGATATGTTAAAAACAATTGATGATGAAACATCATACAAAGTTGTGAATGGAAAGAGTTCAACAGCAACAAATCGAGTAAGATTTATACAAACTTTATTAACGAATAAATGTTATTGTTCATTACTACGTTCATTTCAATTAATAATAGAACGAATGATATAATCTCAGGAGGTTAACCGGTTGTATTGTTTTAATCAATTTTTAGTGTTAGTGGAACGACGGGGTTCTTACCTACGTTCTGAATACAATTCCTCATCTATTCATAGCATCTTGTCCAACTTTAGAATCCATTCTTGTTAGACTAAAATCCAATAAAAAAGATTTATATGTCTGCTGCTCATATAGGAAATCATCCACTGTTCTCGCAGAAGCCGAAAGATACTTTGAGAAGCTATTTTTACTTTCTTATCTACCACCCTTAGCTACTTTTGGCAGGAGGCTTTAACGCTGACCCAGATAAAATAGTAATGTACACAAAATCCTTCTTGATACACTTTCTGTATTTTAGTAAATTTCCGCATTCTCTACCTATACCACACGACATAAATCTCTTCTTTATAATATTTTTTATCCTTTCGACTGAGACACTCCGGTAATGTCAAACTATCCGGCATTATGAGGATTCCCCCCAATTTGTCCTCGAAGCAACATTTCAAGGTATTTTTGTTGAGCGAATCTAAACTCAAGTACGTCGCCGCGACTATGAGAAATGCAAGTGGGCTAACCTACTAACGGAGTTATCAAACATCGATCCATCCTTTTCTACTACAAAAACCTGTAATGAAGCGCTAGACCTATGGTCCAATCACGTATCTACGTATATTGACCACTGCGTTCCATGGAAAAATGTTAAAGCTAAACCAATTCTCGTTAAACATAGTCGTAGTTATTATTACTTAAGGCACAAAAGAAATCAAGCTTTTCAGTTAAAAGAAGCAGACGGTAAAGTTCAGTCAGTCAAAAGCTGGAAGAAGTGACGGTAAGGAAGTTAAACAGCCCTTAAACAAAGACAAACATGCCCATTTTAACCAAATTGCTAGCTCATTTATCTCACCTGCGACCTTTTGCGCCGCCATTAATCGGATAAAACAAAGTAACACTAGTCTGCCCGCAACAATTACTAATGGGTAGTGAGTGAACTATGGGAAAGATTTATTTACGATCAATTGTTTACCCATTTGAACGTAGTATAACCGGTTCGATTTTTTGCCCGAAACATCGGCAACTGACACTTTAGTATATTTGTTACATAATCTGACAAATAATCTTAATAAACAATCACCGGTAGACACCGTCCTAGTCGCTTTCGATATGGAGAACGCCTTTGACAAAGCTTCCTATTAAATAACCATTTCTCGTTTGTCAGCGATAGGCCTATCTCATCCAGCCCTAGAATGGTTTACGAACTACTTTTCCAACCGTTTCCAACAAGTAAGAGTTGGCTCTAAACTGTCCATGCCAATCTCCGTAATATCAGAAGTAGTACAGAGCTCCATCCTTGGTGCTCTGCTATTTCTAATATTCGTTCCTGCTATTGTAGACCTACCGGCGGCTGATACTCTCCTCTTTGCGAATGATTGTATCATCATCTGCCCTATAATGGCGACGAGCCTATCTCAATTCTGTCAGAATAACATAAACAAAATCAATGATTGGTGCAGTGAAATCTAGTGATTTCAAACTCGTCCAGATGCGCGTGGATGTTTGTTTCCAGTAGCCCTGATAGAGCCAATAATTTCAAATTTACCTTACCAGATGGCCCTAACATAAAGCGCGAGGAAAGCCTTATTTTAGTAGGGATCGAAATAAGTTGTAAACTGAGATGGCGAGTTCATATAGAAAATCTTGCGCGAACCCGTTGGCAACGTCTTGGAGCTATGCACAGACAGTTTAAACAAGCACTCGCTCATATCCGTCTTCAAATGTATAAGAATTGTATCTTCAGTAAGATAGATTATGCCTGTGCATTATATGACACCACTTAGGTGTCTCGTCTTGAGTCAGTCTAACATCTAGCAGCCCACATGGTTATTCGACACTTTTCTACTCCTAGTCACACACATTTGTTCAAAATCCTTAACGACCACTTTCCTTTATCTGGACTCAACCTTATAAAGACAAATCTAGAAGATCAAGCCGTCTTAATTATTCGAGAATAGTAGAAACTCCCTTTGCTAGAACAGAAACCGTTCTACAATCATTTATCTACCAAACAGCCTGAGACTGAAATTTAACACTTCCTGAAACTATTGTTACATCACCCACAATAAAGTCATTTAAAACAAATCTTGAGCTTTAATTGTTTTAAAATAAGCTGGCAAAATTTATAGGTTCTCAGGACGTTTTTTGCCTTTCCAGTAGCGTGTTTTTGTTTATGTAAAGATGTATATTTGTGTTCCTTTTTTTCACTTTCGATCATCTACTTGTGGTTATTAAAATATAAATAAATCACTTGAGAAACGCAAACATTTGCAATGATTCAGAAATATTTTATTAAAAGTATTAGAATGCTTCTGTTTACATTTTAGACCACAAAACCATCGTGGAATGTATTGCAAGATGAATTAATGGCGAGTGTCGGGAATACACATGACGGCGATAGTGACAACGATGAAACTTAATTATACCGTGTTAAGTTTCATATCTGCTTGTTATTTTTTTGTTTTTATAACTGTTAACATCTACTGCTTGTTAATCCCTGTTTTTTCTACTTTGACTATGTACGGAAAATTCTAATTGGTACCAGTAGCAAACAGAAGAAAATTATAGGGCTGCGGTAAGCTAATTTTATTTTTCTATTCATACTCAGGTCCTTAAAATTTTGTTTTTGGAACTGAAATTATACTTAATTGTGCAACATTTTCTGTTTTGAATTGTGTTGAAATATCATCAAACATCTTGACATACCTCTCCAATTGTGCCACAGCGACATCGTCATCTTTATTGTTGTGGTTTGTCTTCTTTTCTACACTCTGATGTTGTTAAAAATGCTATGCAAGCATTTATCCAATAGATGAAAGATATAAAACATAGTTGAGAAAAAGGAAGGTCAAGAAAAAGCAATTTAGTAAATTGAAAATGGTATTTTTTTCAAAGTAAAATTTGATCCAGTTCCAATGACTTGTACCACGACTTTTAATGCATGTGTTGTTCATAACGCATGAATGTTTAAAAGATTTAAACTGTGGCGCACTACTTGTAAAATTAAATGTGCCGACATAGACAGGCATCATGTGAACAAAATAATCTAACTGATGTATGATGTTGCAAAAACTTGATGATATGCTGTATAAAGTGGGGCTAAAAGCATGTGCAGATACAATCAAAAAAGGAGATAGAAATATACTCAAATAAGTATAACGGCAGTTGGAAATTTTATTAGCCATAAAGATCCAAAAATGGACAATAATATGTCGGACTCTCTGTTTACACTCAGATGTAAGAGAAACGAGATTATGAAAATAATTTAAAATCATTAAAAGTTCAATGATCTATATGTTTGCCAAAGAATGCAGACTTATAAGAAAATGAATCGGTCTACTAAGATTTTGTTGCATCCAGCGGTTTATTTTTACTGAAAATGATTGCTTATCTTATTTATAATCGGGTGTTTTCGAGCTTGAGAAACGGATACATCAGATTCATTTTCTCTAACAGCCTATCGCGTTCAGTAATTTGATTTCAATTTTTCTGCCGTAGTTCAGTAGTTCTAAACATATTAGTTGAATAGACAATAGAAATAAAAAAATATAATAATAAAATTCACATTAATTACCTCATCAATAAATAAACACAAACAAATCGTAATTTTGGTACATGTTTTTTTGACCCTAGTGGGGGAGGTAATCCTATTTTGTTTAAAATTAATTAAAAACTATTTATACAATGATTTGGTTGATATCTTGTACAGTGTCTGCAGACCTTTTTCACAGGCCTTTTCTAACTGACCTCTCGCTCCAGTGATGACAAGGAACCACCACTTTAAATTTTTTGGTATATTAAAGATGAGGTTGCAGCATACCCAATATACTAAAGATTGTTGAAATAGCGCAGTTATTCTGAAAAAGTCGCTTTTCGTCTATGATTAGCTAAGCCTGTTTGTTACATTTGGCTCGAATCCAGAGGTGTCAAATAATATATAAAATTGTAGCCTTGAAGAAGAACTACCGTTAGTATATTGGGCATGCTGCAGCCTCATCTTTAATATACCAAAAAATTGAAAATGCTGATTCCTCGTCATCACTTAAGCAAGGGGTCAGTTAGATAAGGGCTGTGAAAAAGGATTGCAGGCACTGTACAAGATATCAACCAAATCATTGTATAAATAGTTTTTAATTGTCTATTCAACTAATATGTTTAGAACTACTGAACTACGGCAGAAAAATTGGTATCAAATTACTGAATCTGTTGAGAAATATTTTCAAATTGACCTGTCGAACAACTATATATCGAAAAAAATACTAGTACAATGGTAATTGTTGAAAACATCCGTTTAGATTGAGATCAAGAATATTTCTCATCGTTCCCATGCTCATAATGATAGCCATTCAAGATCACTAGCAGAATTGAATGAGACCACAAAAATAATAAATTTTTTAAAAGAAAAAAAATATCTGAAAAAGGCTGTCTAAAACTGAATAGTTTTTGAACACTAAACATGTATTTTTCTTTACTTTAAGCTATATAACAGGAGAAAAATCGCAATATTTCTACCTATACCGTATTAAAAGGAAAACAACAGAAAAAAAAGCTGCACAATAATAATAATGAGAGAAAAATTTTTTATAATGAAAACGTTGGATATAAATCATTCTCTAATGGATGAGTATCATCTAGAAATACAGCTTTACGTTCAGTATATGTATGATTTCGATTATAATATGTTCTATCTCCTGGATCAAACATTTGATCACTATCCTCATCAATATCATCGTCATCGTCATCTTCATCCAAACTTAATTTTGATAATTCTTCATCACTATAATGATTATTTTGTGCTGATGTACAGAAACCATTTGGGCGCTTTATTTGAGCGCTTGCGGGTGGAGATGGAGCAGAAGGACGTTTAATAGGCGAGATGACTCGTTCACCTGGTGATGTATACGTTGAACGTTGAATAATATTATTTGTATTTGAAGGGAAGACGAATGGCAAATCTTCGTTAAGATCCATAACATTTACTATTGTTTTCTTTTGATAATGATTCGAATTTAAAGCAGGTAAACGATGCTGCTGTTGTTGAGTAGTGGTGTTTAAAGTACGACGATGGTGATAATTATTAGTTGTAGTATGGCGTTTTGGTGGTGTTGCAAAATGATAAAACATTTGTTTCGTAGTGATTATTCGTGGATAATGGTGATTTTTTGAATAAGAAGTAAGATCGTTTTCTGATGGTAATAAACTTGATTCTGTACGATAAAATGTATCATCTGTCGTTAAAATATCAGGAAGTGGAGGATATTTTTTGACTGGCACATCACCAAATTCATGTTGCGTAGTGCCCATTAATGGTGTAGGTGTTGTTATAAACGATTGTTCACGCACAATTTCTCGTATTTCATCTATTGTTGATTTTTCACGATCAATATGAGGCCGATGTGATGTAGAGGACGCTGTATGATTACTAGTGATGGTTGTCATATTAACCATGTGTGTGTGCGTATATGTATATGCTATAGTTGACGATATTATATATCACCGTATCAACAAGCAGCGTATTAATAAAAAATATTATTTATTAATATGTTTTAGTCTTTTTTTAATCATATAAACATCATCTGAAGAAGAATAAAAAGATTATTTGATTTAATAGAAAAGACAAGAAAAATAATATGAATAGAATATAACAATAAAGAACTTCGTAAAACTTTAATTCCTTCAGGTTTATACTCAATCAGACTTTAATCGTAGACTAGATGCTATTGATTACATCCCATTAAAAAAAGATGACTATTTTTCCATCTTTTGTGGTTTCAATGATGTACTTGCTGTCATTCTCAATTTTTTTAGTTGTTAAAAATAAAACACTTGTAGATGATAGGCTCAATGAAGAAAGGTAATAAAAAAAAGTTTGTACTAGATTATCAAATTTTTAATCGAAAAATTCGTTTGTCAAATAAGAACTAAAAAATTCTAAATTTAAATAAAAGAAACACGCACATACACACACCGCAAGTGACAGAAGGCAAAAAGAGTAGCATATCATAAAACAAAGAGAATCGAGTTCTTTTTTTTTAAGGAAAGAAAAAGAAATAAAATAAATTTAAACAAATTGTTCTCGTAATTTTTCCGCAACTTGACCCTAATACAGCCATCGGAAGAGTGTGTGCTGTGTCCTTCTGTGATAGAAAGAAAAAGTTTAAGCGAAACCAGAATGGTTAACAGCAGTAAATACACGTGTGCGTTCCTTATAGTTTGTAGTAATGAAGAAGATCAATGATACTTAACAGATAGACAACAATATTGTAGTAGAAACTGCCATGAGGGCTTCAAAGACCTGCTTTTCTAGAAAATCAGTTTTCTAACAGAAAATATATTTTTTGCTCAAGTGGTTTTCTGATCTGTCTGGATTGTAAAACATGTCGAGTTACCAATGTCGATAAACTTTTACATTTATCGGACATTTCCTAGCAATGCTATTCGTTTTTTAAAATCTATTGTTATCAAAGAAAAGTGAATACAGACTAAAAGCTTTCCCTACGATATTCTGAATTAGCATCAACAATTACCTATAACCATATGGTTCTGTGAGAAAAAAATAATTTTATCACCTGAAAACGTTCTCTCGTTAGAGCGACGTGTCTCTTCTACATCTTTTTAAATATTACTAGAAGAAATTAATAACTAAAACTGAACTCACGATATCCTACTTGTCATTTTAAAGCATTCTGTTTTTAAATATTACTTCAAACGTTAATTATGAAATAAAAACAAAAACCGTATTAAATTTTTTTTTTTTTTTTTTTATCTTCATAAAAGTAATACTCCACGATCATTGTTTTCTTTTTCTTTCACTGTAATGTCAAGTGTTTTATATATGTGCATACAAATGAATCGCTAAAAGAATTTTGATTATTCTTTTCTCGTATTTTTTTTTCTTTCTTGTACTTTCAAATCGTCGCAGTAATTTGAATATGTTTTTCACATAGAGGTTACTAAAAGCAACGGGAAAATTGAGAATTCTTCTGATGTTCTTGTATACTCACAGATATAAAGTTTAAAATATAATATTTATTTTCAGTAATAGAAAAAAGAAATTTGGTAATAGTAGTATGAATCTATACATACATTAGATCTACTATATTGCTCTTCACTGTCAATTCAGCAACTGGACAAGGAGGAGTAAAATTGGAATATATAGAATTTTACGGAAATAAACAATAGTCAATTTTTTTTCCTCAAATGCGCTTAGTAATGGATTTCGTCTCTCTATCTTTCTCTCTCGTTTGAGTAGTAATGTTTAGTATAGCTCTTGTAACTTAAACACTGTAAAAAAACTGACTTCTTCATTTGTCCCATATAAGCAATTTTCAGTCAAATCTATTTAGTCCATGATCTTAAAAATTGGCAAGGCGGCGGTGATAAAAAGTTTAACAAAAAACTTTTACCAAATCACCTCACTATAAAAAATTTTGGCAATCAATGCAGACTTTAATTCTTTATTTAATTTTGCTTTGTTCATCATTGTGAAAGGGACTATCACAAAATCTAGAACAAAAGAGAATCGAAGAAAATTCCTCGACCTCTCTTAATATGTGTATATACCGGGTGGCCCAGATAAAATCGGACACTTTCATTCGTTGTTTTTGAGACACTGCACAGTAGTCCTAAGAGTTTGCTCTAAGCTCAATCGATAGAAAATTGAATTCTCTACAAAAGCTGCTATTTGAATCTCTGATAACATTTTTCTCGTTTGAGCACCATTGAAAATATTGCTGAAAAAAATGGTGCTGAGTTGTCAAATTGCGACAAGCTTTTGTCGTCTCATTTTTGAATTTTTTAGCTCATTGTCTGAGGTTCAATAGTTAACTTATCTGCGTAGATAGATAGAGAATTTTGTGCTCTATCGATCTCACTTTTTTACAACTTAGCACAATGTTTCTGCTACGCCAGGTGGACTTATTATTAGCTCACAACCGGCTTTTCAATTTTTTCAAATTAAATTAATTTTTTTAATTAATGGTTTCAATTGAGAAACTTTATTTATATATCAAACGATGCAGAATTTAATTCTGTGTAAGATAATAAGACTAAAACCCTGACCTCAGAATGTTTTACTGTTTTTATAGTAAAAAAAACTAAAGTCTGTGAAAAAATAGGTTGAAAAGTTAGGTTTGTTTTGATTTATCAGTTTTTTGCACAGAGAAATTTTCCTGGAAGACTTAACTGTAAAATTTCGAAAAATATGTGAGAAGGTGCAGAATTTTCTGGTGAAACTTCTGATTTTTTTTTCGAAATTCTTATGGAATCTGTTTTTCGATTAAAAGAAATTTTTCTATTTTCAGTGCGTCGGAATTAGGCAACTGAGCACTCTTCAATATTTTGAATAGTGCTCAAACGAGAAAAATGTTATCAGAGATTCAAATAGCAGCTTTTGTAGAGAATTCAATTTTCTATCGATTGAGCTTAGAGCACACTCTTAGGACTACTGAGCAGTGCCTCAAAACAACGAATGAAAGTATCCGATTTTATCTGGGCCACCCGATAATATAAGCGACTGATTTCGAGATTCCTAAAAAGCTCAAAACGAGATCCTTTTAAAACTTTGTATTGAGTTTGTCGGTTTTTCAGAGAATTTACACGAGTTTCAACGATGGAAGAAGTCATAAATAACAAGAAATTATTTTCCTCTATGAGACTAATGAAGAATTCACTATTCTTTGTTTCTTGCGTCCTCTAAAAGTTTGAGAAGAACAATTTTCTTCTTACTTTTCATCTTAATTTAAAAAAGTGACTAGTGCTCTTTGTTCTATAATCTAATTTAAATTCACAAATTTTCATAGAGCAACAAAAATTGAATTGAATAGAGAAGCAATATGAGTGAGAAAATAAAACATATTTGCTATTATTTGACTAATTATTTAAATTTTTTACACAATAATGCGTGATTTCGTCTGTAAAAAGAGTGTAATTAAGATGTCTTCTCTCGTTTCTCACCTGCTTGCTATTTATAAATCCTTGTCACCCCATTTCAATGTTAATAGTTCTTTATAACGGTTAAGAATGCAAGCAAAACAGTTCTTTTTCTCTTTTCCTGATTTTGTTAGAATTATTAATTTTGGTTAAAAAAGCATCCTTGATATAATTTCCTATGAAAAAAAACATTCATATATTTTTTTGCTTCAAAAAATTACATTCAACTAATATTTAGAGAAAGAGATGGAGAATAGTACAATGAAAAAGTGCCAGTAGACATTAACTAAGAAGACATGGAAGAGTACAGAAAAACACAACTAATTTATGATAAATGAGGTAGAAAAAAAAAAAAATAAGATAAAAATGTCGACTAATTTTAAAATGGCAAAAATCAATCTACTTTTTTTTTCTTCTCATACGTATGATATCTCATTTTTTATCTCTTTCTTACAGCTTCGCATTTCTAATAATTACGTCTATAGAAATATAATAAGAAGTATGATCTAAAAATAGTTTTTTCTTTTTTTAGAAGGCAAAGAATTACGAAAGGAGATGCTGATTGATCTGAAAAAAGAACCAAAACTCTCCATTCTTAGATATTTCAAGCAGACGGAAACTTTCAATGTGTTAAATACAATACTTAAATTTCAAAATATGTGAGAGAAAACAATGAAAATTCTATCAAGCTATTGAGTCATAATCAATGCTCGGAATGCAATGATTGAATACATTTAGAACATAATATTCTTATTTTTGCGTACATACGCAAATCAGTCCATGCAAAACATACATTATTACACTGACCTCATCTATCAGCGAGGAGATCCATCTCATATTGTTGAGCTCGTCGAATTGTGTAAGAAAATCCGAATCAGATTTCTGAGATGACGCGCACTTGGAGTCAGTTCGATTTTTTACTGTTTTTCAGGGAAGGTACTTGTCTACAGACGTTTAAGCCACAAACATTTGATACTTTTCAATGTGACTTCTTTTGAGATCAACAAAATCGAATAAATTTTGTGTTCTCACCCGAGGGAAGAGACCAGAGTAGTGGGTGGGAATGAGTGAAAAGTGAACAATTCAAAAAAGAGAAAATTTATGGATAAAACTTAGTGTAACAAAAATGTTACAATTACAAGAAAACCGTTGATATACAAAGTCGTTGTGAGCAACTGCAATTGTAGTTGAAGCAAGCAAATGAGTTCAAAGAAACTCAAAATTGCAGCAGAATTTATGCATATGCTTGTACTAAGGATCGCTGAAACGTTGGTTAATCGAATGTACTGCGAAGTGAGACATTTTCCACATATTCTGAAGATCTTTCTGGTCATGTTCAGAAAATTTATATTTCTTGGCAATGATGTGCTTTGATTTTATTAAAAAAAAAGGTGTGAAATTCCTCATTTCCTAGAAAAAACTATATTTGCCAATCAATAAAAACTCGTCGATTTATTTTTGTGACTAATGAGATTAATTGCCATTAATTAGCGATTTCGTAGAGAATTGCAATTAAT